TGGATTTTCTTGGCCTCCTCTTGGGCCAGCATTACAGCCTCGTTCGCGAACTGGTCACAAAAATAACAACTGGTCATAAAACACCGTGTGGCATATTTCATGGTGCAAATGATTCAACAGTGACCCCATGGCGCTTGGCGACCTGCCCTGATGGTTTTCTCCGAGAACTTTTCAAACCTCGGCAGGTTTGGTGTGCTCCTTCCTCGTGCCCCCACGTCATAGTGACCGTCTGATGTCATAGCTTTGGAAATCCAATTCATGCAACGGATGTGGGATGGTCAAGCACCGACTTTAGATGTCCAACATTTGAAAAGCCTGGAAGAGGGAAATTCCACATGGCAAATGCACATGGGTAGACCAGGATTGTAGGGAGAAAGGGCTTGTTTTAGGTTGGAGACGCCAAAAAAAAAGACTTTTCGTCCTGTGGTGTATGCCATGCACGAGACCGGATGGTCACCAGCACCATCGCACCAAGGCACACCATGGCCATTCGGGTCACGTTCGCACGGTCAGACCTGGAGCCCCGTTTCGGTTCGTCTCATCGCTCCGGACTCGTAGCGATGCCAGGAGTACCGTTCGTAGCGAACCTTGTTCCTAGTAGTATGTTTGTTCTGCTGTGAATCCTCCGACATGGTTTAGCGGCTTAGCCTTCATCCTTCTCCAACCTGAGTCGCCTTCTGTTTTCTCCTTCCCTGAGCGAGAATGCTCCGTTCGGAGTCTGGGAGTCCGAAAGGGTCTTCCCGGCACTCCCTTGGTTCATCCTTTTCCTTTCAGCATTCTCCTGGTCTCTTGCCTATTCTTGATGAATTAGAAATCATCCACACAAACTGTCATTCTATGCAATTCTGCCAATGATCCTGCGAATGCTTTCCAATGGCACTGGCCTGGCGCATGGGCTAGGCAAAGACGCCGCCTGAAGACAAGCTGTTCTGTCATTAATGTTTGGCACGCAAACAACCAACCTGAAAATGGGAAAGGAAGTGCCAGACAGTCATGGCCAACATAGTGTGTAGCCCAACACTGCCCTGGAAACAAGCTCCCATTTGCTTGCCCGCTCCAGACTCCTGCTCTGGGAGCATCCTACAAGATGCTACAAGGCACATACAGTAGCTCAACATGTTTGCACGGTTTGTGGTAGAACAACATGTTTCCGGAGAAGCCGCGTTCCCATTCATTTGCGAAAACGAAGGGCATACCCACTTTGTGCAAGCGGTGAAAGGGAAAGAAGGGCATTGATTCGACTCTGCACTTAGTTGCGCTACCTGGTACCTTCTGCCATCCGCACCGTTACCGAGCCGCGATGCCTACATCAGCTCAGAGATGATTTTTTGGGCAGGCAACCAGAAGAATAGCCAAACTTCGAAAATAATCGACATGAGGTCAAATGAGATGCTACGCTCAAACAAAAAAGAGAGAAGGTGGTCTCCGGCAGGGGGGGCGCTTACAACTTGCAACGGCAACGGATAGGTGTATTTAAACAAAAAATAATATATATTTATATATAGTGTATATATCATATTATATGACATATAATTAACTCACGTTGATGCTGCACTTGCAACAGCAGTCGCGTCTAGCAGCCTTTTATCACCACATGTTGTCAATAGGCTGCTGACTCTGGAACCTGCCTGCTGGGCCATACCGGTCAGCTGCGACGACTTGGACACTGGCCTAGGCAGCCAAATGGATTGGCCTGACCGAATTGCCTCCAGATCCGATGAATTGCGTGTGCTAAGTCTGCTAAGTGGTCTTCCAATTCAGTTCTACTGATCTTGTGCATCTGAGCTGATGACATGCTCGATGTTCGGCCCCAGCTTTGGCCTCAGCATTGGAGTGCAAAGCAAAACCATATTGAAACAGTCACATGGCCTGTGTACCAGAAAAGCCCAGGCTGCGACATTGCACATTTTGGTGCAGAGGTGCAATGGCCATTTACAATCGAGTCGCATTTAGCACAACTTCATTGGGATTGGCACAATGAACATAGAATTTGAGAGTCCGCACTGAGCACGACGGAAAGGGAAGAGAACCTTTTCGGGACGAGCAAATCAAAGTCCAACAATGTCTCAAGAAAGAAACGGTTAAACGGAGTGCAATGTCGAGGCACTCAAGCCGCCAAACTGGCAATGAGTGTGATACATCCAGGACGAACTCTCGTGCGCTCTCAGCATCTCTCACTCGCAGTTGAACCGTCTCAGCATCACGCAGGAATGCGGCGGCAGCCATTGCCGGCCCTACAGATTCCATGCCCTGGCCAAAAAAGCTATGAGAGGAACTAGCAAGAATATCAAAGAGAAGAGCAAGAAAGTATGTCGGGAACTATTGTAACACGCATAGTGTCAAGCATCTGTCTGGCTTACTTTATGATGATGATGGTGATGATGATGATGAGGAGGAGGAGGCGGAGGAGGAGGGTATTGACGAGGACGGTGATGATTCGTTAACACAATCTTTTCAGATGAGGGCACACACAAAATTCCCATAAAATTCCATATCATAAATTCCATCCACAAAAAAAAAGAGACTGGAGATGTTAGGACTCCACACGGGGGGGGTCTGTCTCTCTTTCTCTCTCTCCCGAGTCTGGCTGTCTATCAGCTGCCCCACAGGGACACTCGGCCCTCAGTAATCTGTGACCCTGTGACACTGACTGGGAAAATGATCATGATGATAAGGACGATGATGCACGAACGTGCAGATTGCGCCAGTGGCCTTGGTGGCAAGCTATATATCTAGTAAGGCTATTTGCCTTTGAGGCACCCAACCTCTACTCCAGCCACTCCAGCTTCTGCAGCAGGGAACCTACAGACAACTGCGACGCAGTCAGTCAAGGTCAGGTTCACACGAGCTCTCAATATCTCTCAATGTCTGTAGACACCAGCATGATTAAACATTCTGGTATTGAAAGTATGTTTAAATATGTTCAAACTATATATATACAGTATGTGCTTTCGCATGTTGACCAAAGAGTGCCAAATAGCTGGACCCTGGAACCATCGAACTCACGCGGTACCAATGCTGTAACCAACCGGCCTCTTTAGAAACCACCTGACTCACCAGGCTGTGGTTGCTCTGGAACCGTCCCAAATCCCATCCTTTAAAACTTTAAATCGGGCTAGGTGCCCTTACAAAGCCCTTACAGGGGCCGGCGGCCGGGGCCATGCTCAGAGAGCGCTCTATGCCAGTGTCATTATGCAACCAAAGGCCTTCGTGCTTGGAAGCACCTTGTTGTTTCACACTTCGTTCTAAGCCCAGGGACGCTGAACGAGGAACACCTGGAGGCAGTCGTGTCGCGAGACTGAAAGACACTACGTAGCATACCAAACACGTGTACTTCATTCAGATTTTTATGCAACTCAAAACTAACAGATCTGGAAGCGATGATCAAGATCAGTTTCTGCTTCTGGGTTTTCTGTTTATGTTTCGATTCACCAGCGTGGGTGTTAGTTGCAACAAATGAGCCCGAATCCCCGCCTTTCGAACAATTCCTGCAGGTTTCAACGATTCAATGGGCAACTCATTCATGCAGAGAACTGCACTTTGCGCCACAGATTCAGAAGCAAACACATACACAATGGGCTGCAGTTTGCACACTCCAAAACAGGAATGAAGGAAACAGTAGCCACATCCACTTTCTGTCCTTCCCGGGCCAAAACGAGGGCTAAGAAATGCAAGGCCAAAGCTTAAGACCTCGCCAAACAGGTGCGTCTTTTCTGGTGCTCCTGAACCAAAACACCTACATCGCACTCCATTTGCAGAAACCTTGAGTCAACCACGAACCCAGAACCCCTGACGAGGCTGTGGCACAAAGGAAGGAAATCCCTCGAGCTGCGCTCGTGGCCCTCATGGCCCTCATGGCCTCGCGGGCCGGCTCGAATCCGTCCCTGACTAGCCGACTTTCTCACCATTGGGGCTCTCCCACGCGGTGGCTCGAATCCCAGAGACTTCTCAGAGACCCCCAGTTTTCTCAGAGACGCACTGGGGAAATGTTTGACCTTGACTGGAAGTTTATGGCATTCTTGCAGGACTGAGCGCCTCGATGAACGCACGAGTGTCCCACAACAGCACGAGTGCAAGTCGGTTCAAGTTCTACACATGCTGCCCCGACTCTCCCAGTTCGCCTGGTGAGCTTCTTCTTTGTACAGTTTGATTGACTGGAAGCTGCAGTGGTGAAAAAACACGCGTTGCACCCGACGCATGTGCGAAAGAATTCTGACCCCGAGGCATTCTTCAAGTGAAGTCCAACAGAAAACGAAGACGGCAAACCCAACGCCAAGCAGAGAAAGGAGAGGGAGGCAGTTGACAACACACATGCTGAAAAATCTGACATGTTTTTGATGTTGAAAACCATGGTTAAGACATGTTAACTGTTAACAAAAATTTGCGTACTGTATTTCACCAAAACATCCTAAACAACAGCAGGATCGGCGAGCGATCGACTTTCTGACTGCCCGCGATCGCACGCGCAGGCTGTTTCAACAGGCCGTCACTAGCGACTACTAGTCACCAGTGCACAAGTTCACAAGCAAAGGAAACTTGCGGCCATAAAGCTCAAGAAGAAGAAATCAAAGGAATCTGGGACAAAATGAGGAGAAACGAAACGTCGAGGAGATCAAAGAAAAAAGAAACAAACAACTCAATGATCCCAGGACGTAGGGCACCCCGTGTCAGACCGTGTTGTGGCGTGCAGCGGCGCCGCAGCGCCACTCCGCCCATTCCTTCTCACCGAGCAGGAGCAATGGCTCATGGCTCAAATCAAATACGCCACGCCAACAGTAGCCTCGACTCTCCAGCACTCCCCAAACAATCCCGAACCCCCTCAGCACCAGAAACAAACCGCCAAAGATTGCAATTACAATTACAAAAGGGTGCTTTGGCCAAGAACTCAGGAAGCAATCGTTTCTTGTCTACTGTTTGCATGGTATCAGGCAGGAGTTAGTTGCCTCATGTGTTTCTTTAGTGGCCTCATGCGAGTGAGTCGCATGGGCGGGTCGCGCCCCTTTTTTGTGGGCACTGCTGGCACAAATCACAAAGTTTATACGCCGGGTTGCTCAGCCAGTCAGCCTGCCCCTCATGAGGCACTTCGACTGGAGCTGCTGCCCTCACTTCTGGAGCTCTTTTTCCTGGAGAAGGTGAGCACCAGAGTTCATAGGTTGAACGCGAAGTCACGCGCCGACGCTCCTTTTGGACTTCGCCGGACCTGAGACCAGGTTTTGGAGACGCTTCGAAGAAACTGCACGCATGGGGGTCTACCCCCCGATCGGCGATGCAGCTTGTACGTAACGTAAAATACTTATAGTACATAATATGCGTACTGTATACATTCAATGTTTTTACATCCTGCAAGCTTCACAGGCCAAGCACATCTCTGGGCTTGCTCTTGTGTGCGGGTGTGCTACCCACCGTTTGGCCAATGGGATGCAAATGGAGCAATCCCTGAGGGCCGAGGCTGGCCTAGGTTTAGCCAGGAAGCATTCCTGGTGGCTAGGATTCCAACCTTTGCTTGTGGTGTGGTTGCCCCTCCTCCGCTTTGTTCCATAGATCCATCACAAGATATCACAAGCACAGCTAAGAAGCTCGAAGCAGGCACAGTCACAGCACAGTCACAGGGGGTGAGTTGCTGTCCTGCCACTCCGACTCCTGCTGTTGCTCCTGCGTCGGGCATCTTGTCTGCTGTCTCGGCTGCCACTGCGACCTCCACAAGGAACAAACCGACCACGGCACGATGATGCACGATATGCTTTCGGACAACGGCCCAGATGTTGGGTCATGAGAGCCGAACCACGTCTGCCTCTGCGGCCGCCTTGTCCGCCTGCGGTCGGAAATAACCCAGAAACAGGCGGTGATTTCATGTGATTTCGCCGAACGCGGTGTCACAACATCTCGGAAATCCATGTCATGAGTACAGGCCTCGAGCTCGGCTGTCTCGATTTCGCTTTCGCCTGTCTCCACTTGGACGTCAAGAGCTATGTCTTTCTGAAGGAAAGGTGCGGCAAAGGTGCCCGCTGGATGCGCCACCCCCACTCTTCTCCACTATAACGTTGACGGCCAAGTTTTTGCCTGCAAATTCCATCCATTTTTGGCAAATTGCACTCCACACCAGTTCTAGGCAATGCCTTGGGGTATAGCACATGCACCTACTGCCATCGTCTCCGAGGCGTCCTCCCCAGCCGGCCTTTCTCTCGGTTATATTTGACATCAAAGCGGACCTGGCATTGCAGATGCAACACAAGACACGTCCTCAGCCTCCAAGAGTCTCAATGGCTTGCTTGCACTGGTGGCAGCGGCCAACAAGGTTGTTGGCCGCTGCCAACAAGCTCACACCGAGTGAACGGCCCTGTCACCGCGCTCCAAGCCATTGGCACGTGCATCACGTAGCCTGGGCATCGTAAGAGGTATAGAAACAGATCACAAATGCAGCAGTACAATAGCCAACGCCAAGGCCAAGGAGTCTGAGGTAATTAAGATTAGGAACTAGGAGAAATCTAAGGAACCAACTCACTGACATGAACGAACAAATCACCAAAGGTGGAATCGTCTGGCGCAATGAAGCCGAAGCCCTGGCCATGCTCCGGGATGTTCAACGATGTTGAGTCAGCTATGGTCACCCAAAGGTCGGGTGACCTGCTTCAAAAGGCCACAAGATGTTTTTGGAAGAGTTCAACCATAAAAACACATTTAAACACGACTACGTCTTCACATGTCTTCACTGTGTTTTGCCCCAAGCAAGCACAGATGCCCTCGTTTGTTGTGTGCCTTGGGGAAACCACATTTGTGCAGTTTAGGCGGATGTGCCTTCTCCTCAAGCCATGTGGTCACCAAACCTGTTGGCATGACATCCCGGTCAAGACACTAAGGCCCTTCTCAAGGCTACATGCTGCTTCCTGGGGCCAAGCAGCAGAAGCAAATATGTACACAAACACCAGCTGGCACAAGCATAAAGCGCCAGGAAACGTGATGACAAGAACGTGTTCCCTCGCTCGTTCTGATCGATATCGATTCGAAGGAACACGCACTTTGCATTTCAATCCTTTTCTGGGGAACCAATGGAACTGACAAGACTGCTGTGTGATCTTCGCATTCCGACCGTGCCAAATGTCGATGATGCTTAGCATCATGGGGGCTGCGGTCTTAAATCCGGGCGAGTTACGGCCGTGCATGATTAGACAAAACCAGCAGAGACGAAAGCCTTCGGCCGCCTAGCACAAGGGCTGCCGGAAAATCAAATTGGAACAGAACCTCGATTCAGTTCTAAGGAAGCCCAGGGCGGCCAAGACGCTGCCATTCAAAGGTGCAGAGTTGTGGCATGAAGCTGCCACTGATGCTTCAGTTTTTGATTTCCTCAACACCTTCAGACACGATGCGCTCAAGGGGTTCAAAGGGTCGCTGTGGCAAATCTAGCCTCAGCTTCCCCAGCATTGATTCTCACAGGGAAGCACGGTTGATATGATGGAGCCGTGACGCCTCTGGTCCGACGAAAACAGGCGCCTCATGGTCCGCCTGCAGTCTAGGGCACCTGCATCTTTTTGGGTGTCCTTTCTCTCGATCTGGGCCAAGCTTTTGGTGTGGATGCCTCACAGGATGATCCAAAGTCGACCGGCATGTTCCGCATGGAATGGAAGCCGGGCGGGTGCCGCTTCGGGCCATCTGGAAAGTGTTCTGCGGCGTTCTTTGAGGTTCTGCTGGTTCAAGGTTTTGGCCACTTGAGGTCTCATTGTGCACAGTTCCTACTCGATGGTTATGATCTAGTGTAGTCATCATCCAAAATGTGAAAACTACGGTGTTACATACAATGAAACAATATATATTTTAACATGATTCACCTGATTTGATCAATAGACAAGCCATGACAACAGGCGGGGGTCACCAAACTACGGATGAGCTTCGAAAAGGAACACAAGGGGCAAAAGAACAATGTTCCAGTTTCCACGCCACAGTTTTCTGCACCTCATGCCCCAAGTGCTCATCAAACCTGATCCCTCTGGGAATCGTCCCTTGCGCGCTGTTTACTGCAGACACCAGGACAGCTTTTCATGTAATTAATGGTAACTCGTGGCATGGTACAGGCCGCTTGTGAGCAAATTGAAATGCTGCTTTCCAATTGATTATGCCTATGCGGTCCAGATTGTCTTCGCTGCAGCCGTGCAGTGTTGAGTTGATCGCTGTGTGGCGGCATATTGCTACGATGCAAATTACGGCCCGTGGGGTCCCAGCCATTGGAACCAATCGTTTCGGTTGCCTAAGCGAGGTGTGACCCAATACTGTAAGAACTTTTCATATGGTAAGGCCAGACTCCTTGATGGGAAAAAATCGTAAAGTTTGAAAATGTAAAATTCAAGTGGAAAAAATCAAAAACTAAAAAATAGATGGCAACTCGAAAAACAAGAGCAAGTCCAATAGAATTCAATTAAAAGATAAAAACATGTCAAAAAGTGTCGAACAAATTTTAAAAATATTCGGCTGCATCAGTTAAGTTTGACTTGAGATGCTTTGAACCAGTTTCGGACGAAATTCCTTTTCGCCCAAGCTTGAAGGTCTGAGTTCAAAAGTGCTGTGGTTAGCGTGACTCTGTCACAGCGGCCTTCGCCGCATGCACCCCTGGTGCATACCTCTGCCAGGTATACGTTTCCTACCCGTACCTGGTAGACTCCTTTAAAAAAGTCAAGATGATACTGGAAAGTCAGTCCTATGACTATGTAGGGTTGGATAATAAAATAACAAACAGCAGTAACCATGGAGTCACAACTCGTGTACTGCGTAAAAAGTTGTCGAACGCAGTGACCTACAACTGCACCGCAATGCCACTGCCGAGGGGTATCAGCACTCACGACGGCAGTATTTAGCCAAGCCGACAGCCGCAATCGTCTGGCATCCTGCAGTCCGCTGCCAGTAGAAAAACGTATCAGCACGGAAATTTTAAAGTAACCAGTGGTACTCGGCGGACGGCTACCACAAACAGAGCCTCTCACAGGTAGACACCACACAGGCGATGAAAGTCGCTCACAACTGGAGCAGTTTGCCAAGGCGACAGCCGCAAATCATCTGGCATCCCACAGGCAGCTGCCAGCAAGAAAACGTATCAGCACGGAAAACTTTGAAGTAACCAGCGTACTCAGCGGACGGCTACCACAAATAGAGCCTCTCACAGGTAGACACCGCACAGGCGACGTGAAGAACCACTCAATTGCACCGCAAAACGTGGACACTCTGGCCGACAGCTGCTACAGAAGTCCTGTAACCACTCGGGCAGACCACAGGGTGTGGTGGGTGGGAAGAAATTTCGGAAGAGTTAGTGACACGAACACTTCAGGAGGGGCACTCCTTTTTGGCTTGAGCCTCAAGCTCGAAAGGAGTGAACTTACCATGAGTGACATCAAATAAATCTCATCACCGACCCTGCCTACCTTGAATGAATGAATAAAAACGTCACAATTAGAAAACAACTCCAAAAAGACCAAAAAAAAAATCACATAAGCGGTAAAAAAATCAAACAATCAAAATCCGACCCCTGTCTAGCTGATGCCTAGGCGGGGCATTGGCGGCACCTGCCAGCCCATTCTATCCAGCGACGCCGCGCCGTTGACCCTATCGCTTGCTATACGGAGGCGCACTCCACGCCGCCGGCCCACATTTCTAACATCACCCGGGCTCATGCGGCTTCCTCAAAAATCATCAACAATAGATGAAAATGACCAAAATTTCAACTGTAAAGTTTATAGCTTCAAAACCTCTAGCAAATAAAGCATTGAAAATGGAGACCAATTTTGAGGACAAATTTTGGTCGAGCTTCATTAGCATCAGCAGAGTCTCAGCAGGAAAAATGCAAATCCCTTGGTGCATGTTTTGGCGCAAAGCGCTGTAAATTGCATTCTTTTTGCAAAATATATGCTCATACTCTGGTGATGCCAGTGGTGCCCGACGCAACTGCTACCTCAAGACTTCCTCTCCCCTTTGCATACTTTTTTAGAGATGAAGCTTTACAGTATCCATGTGTTTTCATGGTTCCTCTTTTTTTGCCGCTGTTCGAGGAAAATACACGCTGGCGATGTTCAAAAGGTCGGTTTGCGGCCGACATTTCTAGCACCAGGACGTATGTAGAGAGGAAAGCATGCAAAGGGCAGAGGAAGTTTCAAGCGCACTTGCATTCCGGGGCTTTTCAGGTGAGGGCAGCTTGCCACGCGCTGCCCCGTTGCTGTCTCATAGGTTTCTCGACCGCTTGAATGGACTTGTTCATGCTTAGGGTCGTCCACTTGCGCTTTTTGTCACTCAGGACCAAGGATGTGCAAGGAGCCCTTTGATGTGCTTTTGTGAAGGCCGAAACGAATCGCTCTCAAGCCATTTTTTGCTGCGTCCTCGATGGCCTGGTGGAACTTAAGACCGTACTTGGCCTTGCCGAACATCACTGCCTGTTGTTCCAGGCCCTGGGGCGGCATCTGATCGATGTTGACTTGGCTTTCCTCCTGCTCTAGCTTGCTGCTTCGGCTGGCGGAACAATTGAGTTGAGAGTCCCGGCATCTTGAGTGGGACCCGACGAACGCTTGAGACAAGAACCTTACCGCCCATTGTCTTGCTCGCTCGTGTACGAAAACTTCACCTGGAATGAGGGCTGACTGTTCTTCAGGAATTCTGGACCTTCGATCGACTTTCAAGCGTCTCTATGGCTGGCTCGATCGCAGGGTTTGGCATCGTTTTGTCATTTTGCACATGGATTGAAAATCTTGGCTAGTGCACTTCTGTCTTCTCCTCTTTGCTATAGTACGGTAGCTAATTATAGAAGAAATCAAACAATATCTCCAAATAGAAGGTTCGAGTCTTAGCCAAAAATTGAATTTACCCCTCAAAAAAAAGAAACTCACAAAGAAACCAAGGTATTCAGAAACCATCAGCCACCTAAACAAAAAGAAGAAAATTGTAAAATTCCTGACCCAAAATGGCTGCTAAAGCAGAAGCAATGGGCAGGCGACCTGGACTCTCCCAACTCTCCCCCTCGTCGGCTTGCGAATTTGATTTTCTATTCATTTGGTTCCGCGTCTACAACCCCTCTCCGCTCTGGCGCGGGCTGCCACGCTCTTCTATGCATTTGCCTATTTTTGTTGATTTTCGCACACCGGGTAAATAGAAGATATCCACAACCGATATCTTCTGAAATAGGTTGCCGTACTATGATTGTCTCACGGTCCCAGACTTATTTGACGTCAAGCGAAAGTAGTTTTGTAAGTTGATGGGCCACCGTTGCCGAGCTGTGCTACCGCTTGCTTCGAATTTGCCGCGGTGAAGGGAAACGTTCCTTTCCTTTTGTCTAGCAGTTTTCTCAAAATGATCGATCAAAGCAGTGATACACACTGATCAGGAAACCATGTGGCCCAAAACCCTAAGCAACTTTTTTGCGCCCACAACCCCAGCTGGTAAACTTCTTGAGGTAGCATTTGTGTCGAGCACCATTGACATCACCAAAGTACGAGCAGCGTTGTTCATAAACTACATACATTGTGCAAAACACTGTGCTTTGCAGTGCTTTGCGCCTACTCATGCACCAAAGGATTTGCATCTTTCCTGCTGAGACTGGGCCTAAAAGGCTTCTTCAAATAGGGCGAGTCTGTGCACACCTGTGGGAGTGTGCAGGCGTAAGAAGCTGCGCTAATCGTCGCATTTTTCTGTATAAGGGGCCTCCGGATGCGCGCAGCCCTTTGAAGGGCATCGCCGGTTGGCGCGTCCTGTCAGCTAGAAAACAACGCGACAAAGTAAATTTGAAAAATGGAAAAATATAGAAAAATCAAAAAAGTAAAAAACGAAACAAAAATGCCAAAAAAAATCACCATGAGAAAAACAACGGCCCATTTGGCCGCACACGGGCGCCAAGAGCGCAGCTGTCCCCCATGGCCCTGC